TTATTCCTTCACTTTCATGATTTCTTTTAGTTTATCCTGGTTTTGAGGTAAAAAAGTATATGATTTATTTTAATTGGCACAAAAATTGTTTTAAGAATTTTTTAAACTTCTGGATATTGAACTACCCTACCTATGGGATTGATTTGAACTTAATTGATATTGAGGTTGGTTAGCTAGAAATCCACCACTGAGGTTTAGGTTTCACGTTTGTTTCTACTTTTCAAAAATTCTTAGATCATATCATCTTTTTAAAATGTTTTTAAACTGACAAAAATTTAATTGTCATCTGAACTAAGTAGCAGAGTTTCTTTAAAATAGAATTTTATTAACTATTTTCAAAGTTATTATCTAACTGAATTTTTTTATTGTTAACTGATAATAAAGTAGGGTGAATCATTTTTCTTTTTCCTGTTTTTTAGTGACAAATACTGTAATTGGAAATAGTGATGGTAAAAACTGCATTTGTACCTAGATGCTTGCACTTCACTACTAGTAGAGGAGTAGAGTCTGATGATTAATCTGTTTGTAAAGAGACTTAAGAGGGAAGTCCCCTACTGTAAAACTAAAGGAAGGAATCTTAACAGTCTTAGTAATTATAAGGATAAATCTACATATTTAACTTAAAGACTATGCAAATAGCTCTGGGAAATACAAAAAATTAAAGAAGCACACCACATATATCATGGGAGAATACTGCCACCTTGTGTCTGTGTGATGCTATTTTATAAGTCTTCATTTTCTTTTGTTATACAAGCTGATGCAGTGCTTTTGCATCATTTGGTATCATAATCAATTGTGTAAAGGTATGATATGATTTGTTTTGCTTTTTTATGTGTAAAGTCAAGTCACCTTTTTTGTTTTGCAGTAGGAAGGGTCTTGTATTTTGAAGACATTAAATTTGGTGTAGTTAGCTCCAAGAATTGGAATGGCTGTAAATCATGGAAATGTAATTAGTAAATTATATTTCATAAATGTGAAGAGCATTTAGTCATGGAAAAAAAAGCAAAGAAGAAAACAATCTAATCTTTCTAGAAGTGTAATCTTAGTGGGTATTAATTGACATCTGGGAGTAGTTAAGCATTGCATTCTTCTTCTTGAATCTTACCTATAGTTAGGGTGCAGTTGCAGTGCTTTAGGATTATTTTAAATGGCAAAATTCATTACACTGTAGGGGAGGTATAGGTCATCTAGTCTATTGACATGGCCAATTCCTTCATTTAAAAATTTTTTTAGGGGGTCAGGTGCACAGTGACAATAACAGTCGTGTTTTGAAAATACTGATGTGGTGAAAAAAGGTCTCATAAGTTGTTTTGGTTACCTGGGGGGATGACTTCGTGAGGTTTCAGATATTCTCAGGAGATGAAGTCAAACTTGGATGCTCAGAGCTGCTTTAGCCATCGTTTTTTCTGGAGCAGTTTCTTTATTTGAAAAAGTAGTTGAACTGAGTGGTAAGAATCTTTTCAGCTTTAGAATTCTATACTGTATAAAGCTTTACTCCACTTTTAAAATGTTAGTGCTAGGGGCTGGGAATGAAGCTCCGTAGTAGAGTGCTTGCCTAGTGTGTGTGAGCCCCTGGTTTTGATCCCCGGCACCCCCTCTCCCCCCAAAAGATGTTAATGCAATGACCTTCAGTGTACTCACTATACTGTTATATATAGCAAGTTATTTTCAGATTTAGTTTAATCATAAGGTTATGTTTAACTATGACAGCATAAGTAATTTGAAGAGATACATGTGTATAAAATTTTAAAATCAGAAGTCTAGGAAATTTACCCATTTTCATCTAAAAATACCTCAGGTAATTGAAGACACCAGAAAATTTGTTTTGGGTAATTTAATATATGACTCTAAACCATCTATTGCTGTGTTGGGCCCAAATATGTTTCACATATCTACCTTCATCCTCTAGAATGACTACTAAAGTTGCCATAGATATGGTAGGGCCTGTATCATAAGTGTGTTAGCTTTCTGTTACTGTCATAACTACCTGAGAGGCAAATCAACTCAATAAGGGAAAAGGTTTATTTTGGCCCATAGTTTTGGAAGTTTCAGTCCGTGACTGATTGGCCCTGTTGCTTTGGGTTTGTGGTTAGTCTGTACATCATGGCAGACTGTATGGTGGCCTGAACTATTCGTCTCATTCCTGGGACAAAGAGAAAGGAAGACACCACAATTCCCATTTCAGGACATATCTCCTGGGGCCTGAGACCACCCCTAGGCTCTGTCTCTTAAAGGGGCCAATTACCCTCCTGATAACACCACAGCTTGGGGGCCAAACCTTTAAGATGTGGGCCTCTGAGGAATTTCCAGATCCAAAGTGTGGCAGTAAGGAAGAATTTTCTCATAGTAGTGAAAAAGAAGAAAAGGTGCATTGGCCTACACGTGAACAGTTGGAAATTCTTTCCGATACTTCTCAATTTGAAAATTTAAGGTCAAAGATTCTTTGCTTTGAAATCTCTTCTTTTCATAGTGTATGGCAGCAGATACTTGGCTTATCTTGATTCATTTCCTTATGGTGTGCTAAGAGTGTGCCCTTTTGACCACATTTAGCTTTTTACTTTGGAATCATCTAGGAATAATTTTTTCAAATTCTAGGGATAATTTTAAAGAAGATATTCTTCATTGTTATGCACACATGCCAAATTTAATATCTACTGAAACGATTTCCCAGTGCTTGGTTGTTGTGATATCAAAGCAGAATGACTACTTTGTTAGTTTTGCATTTATTTTGTATAATGCCAAACTACTATTTGGTAAAATAAAATTTAAAAAACCCTCATGATGCATGTTTAAATTCACTAAATAGGGCTGGGAATTTACCTCAGTGGCACAACGCCTGTCTGGCAAGCGCGAGGTCGTGAATTCGATTCCTGGTACCGGGGGAAAAAAACCAAAAAAAAATATTCACTAATAAAATATGTTCACATGTAAAAATCTGTGGATGTATTCAAAAACATTAAGTAAAGTTGTTGATTTATTAAAATATACATTATCCTAATGTAAATCATTATGGAAATATAATTAGTAAATTATTTTTCATAAATGTGAGAGCATTTAGTCAGGATAAAAAGCAAAGAAGAGGATAATCTAATCTTTTCAGAAGTGTAATCTTTGTGGGTATGGCAGTGTGCTCCTGTAGTCCTAGCACTCTGGGAGGTTAAGGCAGGAGGATCATAAGTTTTAGCAACTTGGCAAGACCCTGTCTCAAAGTAAAAAATAAAACCAAAAAGAGCTAGGTATGTAGCTCAGTGCAAAGGCCCTGAGTTCATTTCCTAACACACACACACACACACACAGTCTATGGAAATGATTGTGTCAGTGGTGATATTAGTTATGAGATTTTCCTGAAGAGATTTTTCTGAAAGTTTGCTTCCAAAACCTCTCTCTTCTATGCAGTAGGAATGTTTTGGGATGAGAACAAAATACTGGGCATTAGTTCATAACTGACTCATCCACAGTCTAGTCTCTGGATTGTTATTCTTGAAATATTTTGAATAGTTTGTTTTTATATGGGACTGTACGTTTATAGTATGGGGATTCTAATTTTTTTTTTTTTTTGGTTTTTCTCCGGTACCGGGAACCGAACTCACGACCTTGCACTTGCCAGGCAGGTGCTTTTGCCTCTGAGCTAAATCCCCAGGCCCTGGGGATTCTAATTTTAAAGAACATTGTAGTTTCTTTGTCTCAGTTTTATATGTAGATTGAGATTTTAGTACATATTTAATTACTTGGATCTGGTTCAGTTGTTTTATGTTCATGTTCCACTTGTTTGAAAAGCCTTTGAACAAGAATTATGATTGTAATAAATTTACTTGTCAATTATTATTTACTTCCTTGAGGATTATGAAAATTGGAAGAACACTTTCTAATGAGTGCATCTTTGTTCATTTTGAATTTTTTTTAAGAGTTGAGGTGTCTAGTGAGGTATGATGGCATGTATCACTGCACCTGCTATTTTAAAGTTTTAATGCATTGAATAACTTTAAGGATAGAGAACAGTTTTCGTCAAGTTATTTTCATCACAAACTGCATTGTTGAATTTGTAGTGAGAAAACTTACCACCAGAGTTTCTTTCGGTAGCCAAGATCACAGTAGGGTATGATGTGAAAACATGTAATAAAAGCTGACACCATATTTCAGTGTGACCGCTTACTGTGTTTGCACAAGTGCCGACGTTTCTGTTTCTATGTGATGTGCAAGATTGAATGACTGAGGCACTGATTTTGATGAAATTGACTTTTAAAACTATGAAGTATTTGTACTTTAGAAGTTAAAGACAACATATTTTGGAATACTGACAATTGGTGTAGTATAAACTGTTGTGATACACAGATCAAGGTAGAGATTGGTAGGTATATGGAGGTTGAAGTATTTCCCATCACTGAGATTTTTAATGTTTATTAAATGTTTCTACTACTCGTGAACCTACCTTGTAAATGGGCTGTCATTATAGCAGAAGATTAACAACTGTGATTTTTTGTTTAATGTGTATAAAATTTTGTTTTCTGTTCAAGTGAATTCTTAGTTTTTTTTTTGTTGTTGTTTGGTTTTTTTTTTTTTTTGGTACCAGGAATCAAACTCACGACCTTGTGCTTGCCAGGCAGGCGCTGTGCCACTGAGCTAAATCCCCAGCCCCCGAATTCTTAGTTTTAATTGTAAAATTTTAGGGGGACATCCTGAAATTTAAACTTAATAACATGTACAAAATGAAACATTTGAACTCTTAAGAATATCATCTTTCTTTTTCATCTTTTTCTTTTAAATGTATAAAACCTCTTGGCTGTAGCCCTCTATGATGCATGTGTGGCTTATCAGAATGATCCTTTATTTAGAAATATTATTAATATGTAGCTATTTTAGTATGTGTTGATTGTATTCAAATGGTATTGTATTAGTGGGCATAAGGCCTTTTAAATAATTGTGAAAGTTAATATTCAATAATGTACTCTTGTTTTGCAGTCTTTAGCATAGGTCTTATTTATGTATTTTCTTCTCATTAGGCAAGAAGTCATGAAATGGAATGGATGGGGATATAATGATTCCAAGTTCTTCTTAAATAAAAAGGGCCAAGTTGAGTTGACTGGGAAAAGGTAACCCTGGTTTGTTTATTCCTTTTCTTCTTCTCTCTTTCTATAAAAATTTTTTAAACATAAAAATAGAATAATGAGAATGATATGACTCCTTCATTTAAAAATTATCAGTATTTTGCTGTAATACCTTTTTTTCTGTAATGTTTTAAATTCTGGCATTGTCACGATCATTGCAAATACATGTATGTTTAAAGAAAAATAAGGATCCAATACAACCAATGATATAATGCTATTATACTTCCAACATAGTGAACATTTTATAATATCTAACTGTTCAAACTGTATTCACATTCTGCTAATTCTTTCACAAATGTCTTTTATAGATAATTTATTTGAATCAGGATACAAGCATGATCTATAGCCACCTTACTACTCAATCTCCATGCATCTGATTTATTGAAAGTAGCTTCATATTTAAGTGCGGTAATTTACATCTAAGTGTGGATTCTTTATGAATATAAATAGTATTTTAAAAATTAGTTTCTGAGATATATGAAGGAAGAAATGATGAAGAAAGATGTCTTTTGATAGTTTTACATTTCTGAAATGTTTTTAGTAATGTGTTGATAAAATTATAAAGGCTATGTAACTTGAAAGGGCAGTTAGTATAAATATGTCATGCTTGAATACTGGCTCTAAAAAAGAAATTAAAAATTGAGACTAAGTGAAAAATTGGATCAAATGAGTTGTGAGTCTCTTTTATTATTACACTTTGATTTAATATCTTTTGGGCATTAATATGCTTAGGTTAATTTTTAAAAAGTTGTATGGTATATTACTATGTTAAAATGTCAGCAGGGAAAGTTTTTTTTAAAAGTTACTTCCTTTTACTTGCAATATAACTGTTCCATTTTTCTGACTGATATGTATTATTTTTTTACCTGGAGTAAAACATCAGGAATATAATTAGAAACTAATTTTAATGTATGAAGATATACCTTGATATTTGTTTTTAGTAGGAAAAATAGATATTATGCATGTTCTCTTTTCCATCTTTATAAATATCTGGGCAAAATGCAGATAGAGACTTAGTTGAGAAATTTTGTAACTGAGGTAGAAGCAAGGGATTTCTGGTTAAACTTAAATTTGCCAGTGGTCTGAATCTTAAATGTTTTATGTTTTAAATAGAATAATGTGGAAAGCATTAGACACTTACCAGTATAAAGCATGATTTTTCAGTCTTTTGGAGAAAAATAAATCTTCTGAACTTAGAAAACCAGGTGTCTCTCCTATGGACAGTTGCTTATTTGTCTTTCCTAGGATCTTTTGAAGGTATAGTATTTCTACTGTTTCTAAGGAAACAGGTCATCACTTGTATTTTATTTAGCACAATATCGTTAAAAGCATAAGATGCCTGTAGTCCTCTGTCAAGTACTCTAGGTAATCTGTTGGTTTATAGAAGTATACTGTAGTGAGTGATTAGTCACAGAAAATATTACAGATAACTACACCTTAATAGGTGCAGTAGTTTCAGAATGTAGTTCTTATTTTAGATGTTCTGGCACTTGATTTATCAATTCTCCAAGAGGAGATCAGCCTGTTGAGAACTGACACATGGACCATATTTCTGAGAATGCTTTACAAAATAGAGTCTCAGTGTATTCCTTTATGATTAGATTATTCCTATTTCAGGACTATCCCTATTATCACAGCAAAATTTGAAATTCATGTATTATTTGGAGAATATGAATTCAGAACAGAGGATTTGATGGTCCTGGTAGAGATTTTTATCCAGGCAATAATAGAACCAGAGAATTTATCTGTTAATTTTAGACATTAGAAGATCTCTGCCTCTGCCAGTCTTACCAGAATGGATTCCTTAGAAGGCTTCGTTTTTTTGCAACTTGACTCAAGTCAGAATCAGTGGGAGAGAGGAAGAATCTGGGTGCTTCTGCTTCTAAGAGCATGCAAGGGAGATCAGGAAAGTTGAATAATAGCTGGTATATTCACTTCAATGGAAGATAATCTTTGCCTCCTGGGACTTATATGCTCTAACGTTAAATATCAAGTATACAAACAATTTAATAACTAAAACTAAATACTTAATAGTATTCAGTTTGCATTTTGGTGTTGTTATAAGTGCCGTTACTGCCTTGTTACAGACAGGATAATAAACCGAATTGAATCGAATCATTGCTTGTCTAACTCTAGTTTGTTTCCTGGGTGTGATGAATAAATCAGTAGGCTGCTTTGATTTTTGTTAGAAAACGTTTGCAAACTTTCTTTTTGGAAGTCTTAGGGATTGAACCCTGGCCTCATCTATCTTAGGCAAGTGCTCTGCCCCTGTGCTACGTCCTCAGCACACCTGAGTTGTTTTGGAACCAGAAAGAAGTGGAGGAGTCTCTCTTCCTTTCTCCACTTGAAACACATTCAGCAAAACAAATTAAAAACAGTATGAGGAGGACGTAAACTGCTTCTTGAAAAAAATTAAATTTGACTTTATCATATACAGTGTACACAGATCTACTCCATGGATTGTAGACCCGAAACTAACACTATAAAACTCCTAGCACAGAATTCTTTCTGAGTTTGAGGTGAGCAAAAAGCAGCGAACAAAAAGTATTAACTCTAAAAGAATAAAATAACAACCATAAAATGGTACTAAAAGATACCTATAAGAAAAGAAAAAAGCAAGTCACAGAGTAAGAAAAATGTTCAGTAATACAGCTGATTTTTAAATACATGACCAGTTCTGATACCTCAGGAAGAAAATAAAAATAACCCTATAAAAAAAAATGACCGAAAAACCTTAAGTGGGCATACAAAAACAGAGAATATCCAAATGGACAATAAACATGTAAATAGATGTTTAATATCATAAGTAATTAGCAAAGTTCAAATTAAAACTGAAATGACATACCAAAAAAAAAACCTGTTCCAATTACAGAATTTCTGTTTTGTTCATTTTTTAAGATACATTGCTATTCTGTCATTCACCAGAAGAATATTTTTTCCTTTAGTCCTTTGCCTAGTTATTATAGCTGCTGTAAAGTTCGGTGTGCTGTTTCCACTATCTTGGGTCATCTTTGTGTCATTAAATGCCCCTTTTCTGAATTATGGATCCCATTTTCTTGTTTATTCATGTGTAGTAATTTTGGAGTGTATCCTGGATATTGTGATTGTTATGTTGTAGAAACTCGGGATTGTTACATTGTTCTGAAGAGGCTTTTCTTTTTTTAAATCAAACAGTTAATGATTGACCTCACCCTGAATATTCTGTCCCTTTATAGTGGCCAGCAGCTGAATTGTCTGTTCAGTTCTTTTAAGTTTAGCCAGTTTGTTTGGAAGACTCCAGTACTTTATGTGTGTACAGTACTTTATGCACACGATTCAGGGTCAGCCAGGCATTTGGATAAAATTGATATCGGTCCCTCTCCAACTGTCTGGTTTCCTTCGATGCGTTCCAGATGCTATTGTTGACTTCAAACACTCTCCTGTTTTTTTAAGCCAGGAAAACTTGGGTTTTCAGTATTTTTATTACCTTTTTTTGGCACCAGCTGGGACTTTGCCTCAGACTAACAGCTGTTTAAAAAAAAACAAAACTGGAAACTCACATAATGTTTTTTCCTTTTTCTAAAAGTAGTACAGCTTATTCCTCCTATTTTTGCCTGCTCTTGGTCTGTCTATACTGTTTTTAGATAGCTGGGTTCTGTTTTATTTTTGTGCAGAGTTTATAGTTACATCTGAGAAGCTTACATCAATAGGAACTTCTTGGTCATTGAAACAGAATCTAAATTTCAGTTAGTTTAAATTCTTGGTCTTGGGAAGCAGAATCTAAGTTTCAAATTTAAATGAAAATACTATTTTCTAATATTCTTATCTTTTTTGTACCCTAGGTACCCTCTTAGTGGTGTAGCTTTACCAACTCTTAAAGATTGGATCCAAAATACCTTTGGAACAACTCTGGACCATAAAACTACCTCTAAAGTAAGTAAATAAGAATGATTACTATCAAGCTTACCTGTGTTTTTCTTCCCAAATTAATTAGATTTATCTTTGTGATTTGTTATGTTTGCTCTAATATGGTTGTCATGGGCTTTTATTATGAAGCCTATTAATTTATGTTGGTTTTGTTAGGTTTCTGGGTATAGTTTTTTAGTGTTACAGATCTTTTGCTGATTTCAGAATTTTTATGATATTTATTTGGCATAATTTTTAAAATCATCTTTGATCTTTGGCTATGTTAATTTAAGAAGTGGGAATAATAACTGTTTTACCCCCTTACGGGATAGTAGTGAAGTACAGATTAATCTGTGAGAGTACTTTGTTACAAAAAATATTTAAATGATAGCAAATATTTTAAAATAATAGATTGACAGTAATGTAGGATAAATGTAGAATACTTTAAAATAAAAATGTAATGCTACATTTACTATGTTAGAACACTTGAAATATTTGAAGATTTAAAAATAAAAATTTGATTAGAATACGGATGATAAAAGAATTTTAGTTGGGTTTCATGGCTACACTTTTCTGAAAGTGGGATTAAAAACTAAATTGTATATGTATCATACCAATGGGATATTTAGTTTTTTGTATTGTTCTCCTTTTTATTGTTTTGCTCTTTGTAATATTTTCTGACTGTCTCTCAAACTGCATATAAGTTCCATGAGCTCAGCGGCTATGTCTTCCATGGTATTTTCCACTCTATCCAACATGGTACTAGGAGGGATTGATAGTCAAAGAATACTTGTAGATTTTCTTTTAAATGTATAGTTACCTTAGCCTATTAAGAAAATAAAACTAAGTAACTAATTCCTGTCCCCTTAAAGTAAATTCTTACAACTTTTCTTGTCTTTTATCATCTTGTGAATTCTTTTTCTCTTTCATCTATTTATGATAACTTTTTGACATTAATATAATCGATACAGTGTAGTCACAGTTTTCACTAGTATTAGCTTTTGAGTCCTTTTCATTTTTTTTTATAATTTAAGATATTAATTGTACACTTTGTTGGAGTTCTTTTGGTCATTTCCTTCTACTACAGGATATTTCTATGAGGTCAAGATTTCTTTTTTTCTGTTTGACTCATTCCTGTATCCTTAGTACCTAGTTTATAGTATAGCAAGCACTCAATAAATGTTTATTATATGAATGAATATAGTACCTCAGTAAGAATCTAAGCTCTTATAGAAATATCATATATTTTTTCTTATATATACTTCTTTCTTTTCCCAGATACTGTACCATAGCTTTTTTTGTGAAAGATGCTTTTAGGTACTTTTTCATACACGTACACATACACATACACATACACAGACACACACAATAGCGTATATCACCTACTTTCCTTATAGTAGCCATTCATATTTGGTGATGATAATTTCATTTAACAGTGAGGAAATCAAGGCTGATAGAAGTTGAGTCAGCCCAGTGTCACATGGTTTTAACTTTGAAATTTAGATTTCCAGATAGCTGTTAGATGAAATTAAGTATGAAGTTCATAAGTTTTAAAGCCTATAAAAAAGTTTTATGACTTAATATAAAACTTGGTATTAATCATTTTAAAATGGCTATTGAAGAATAAGAAATGGTAAAATTTATCTACAGGTAAAAAAGTAGGTAATGCAAATCACAGGTAGGTTTTTTCCCCAGTCTTCTTAATCTAAAATTGAAAATTTGAGACTTTGCTATCTTACCCATTCTTGATTGCAGTTTTGATTGCAAAATAATGACAGCGTGGACCATAGAAGCAAAGAGAAAGCACAGGGCCTCTATAACTTATGTTATAGGATATGATTAACCAGATCTTTTATATTCTGTAATTTGCTACTGTCACAAAGTTGACTTGTGTGCATTACTTGATATTTTCCTGTTTCTGTCTTTGAATGTAAAAAAGAAATCTATATCATACAGTCATTTTCCTTAACAGGGGTATTCAAAATTTATATTCTAGAAATAAAGCAAAGAAACTACTTTTATTTTTTAGGCATCCTTAAATCCTAGTGATACACCTCCTTCTATTGTAAATGAAGATTTTCTTCGTGAACTTAAAGAAACCAATATTTCATATTCACAAGAGGCAGATGATCGAGTATTTAGAGCTCATGGTAAGCTATTTCACATTATATTATATTTACTTTTAATTAAAAACATTTTCTCTAAGTTTTTGCATTTTTCTTTTTTCAAACCACAAAACAGGTCATTGTCTTCATGAGATATTTTTGCTCAGGGAAGGAATATTTCAGCGAATTCCAGATATAGTTTTATGGCCAAGTAAGTTGCTTTTTTTCTTTGTATCATTAAACTAGTATTGTTAAATCTCAGGTAGAGGTAGTATTGGAAATACACACTTGGTAACATATATCATAAAAAATATCAGTAGCTATAACTTGAAGAGTTTATCAAAATTCGTAAAGCCTTTTTAAATTTTTATTTTTAAAGTTTATGATTGCACATTTATTATTATTATTGTACACCCATAGTATATGGGTTTCATTATGACATTTTCATACATGCATATCATAATCTTTGATCTGATGGAACTCTTTTTTGATCTGATTGTCCTGAGCTGTTAGTTTTAAGGATTGATTTTGTTGTTGACAATTAAGTCTTCATGTTTGTAAATAATTGTATTTGGAGATCAGTAGAAAAATATATTTTTGGTTAATTTTGAAGCTTAATGATATATATATCAAATTAAGATATATTCAGATATACAGAATTAATTAACTAATTGGGTTTCTTTAAACAAATAGTAATTTGTTAACATTAGCTTGGGTTTAAAGGCAGAGTTAAATGGTAAAACAAATTTTTTTTTGTCTTTTTGAGACAGGGTCTTACTATACAGTTCAGGCTAGTCTTGAACTCACTTTGTAGCCCAGACTGGCCTCAAACTCACAATGATCCTTCTGCCTCAGTCTCCTGAGTGCTGGGATTATAGGTGTGCGCCACCACTCCCGGCAGCAAGTTGTTTTGAACGAATGTATATTTACATATTTACTGCCTTTGAAATGAATAAGTTTGAGAAATTTGGATTTGGCTTGAGGTAGAAGATGGATGAGCTTTCTGTTGTTATTTTGGTCTTTGTACTATTAGACACTATACAGATTTTTTCTAAAAACTCATCTTTTTTAGCAGGTAATTTAAAGCAGGACAGGTATACTGTTCCTTACTATGATTACATTTTTTAAAAAGTTCCACTGATTTTCTGATCCTTTTTCTCTTTAGATCTTCCTCTTCAGAGTATGTAGAGTATTTTATTTTTTAAAAATACTGGTCATTCGTGAACTCTCTGATCTTAGATAAGATTTTTCAACTTTGTAGGGAGTACTTGAGGGAAAAAATATACTTAAATATGGTGATACAGGGAAGGTAAGATAACAGGAAGTATATCCAAGAGCATATGCAAAAAAGGTGAAATCTAGTTTCCTGATACTTGAGATGTATATTCTCCTGCACGTTTGGTAGTTACAAGTTTTTTGTCTCTGTTTAATATAGAAATTTAGTTGTTCATAAGAGAAAATACCATGAAATAGAAGTAATATTTTTGTTTGCCTGCTTATTTTTTAGTGTTTTTAGGCTACTTCTCTAAAAGGACTTGGAGAAAGTTTATCCATTTTTTTAACTGGAAAACAATAAAGTGAAACTTAACAATTTTCGTTTCCCGCAGAAAATAAACTGTCCTTTGATATAATTTGAAAACTTTCAAGTGTGCCTTTTAGGTATTTTCTTCATGTTTGAATATTAAAATACTGAGAGAATACCATGGTCTGTGTCTTATTTTAAGAAATCCGAAAAAATATTTTTTAAAATTCTGTATTTGGGAAAAAGATGAAGTTAACCACTTATTATAAAAAATTTTTATGCTTTGTGAAATCCTCATTTGATTTTCTTTAAAATTTTTTTTTCCATACCAACTTCCACTTCAGTCCCTTTACCCAGTGCGTATGTGAGTTGTTACAATAGCTTTAAAGGTTTTCATGTCTCAAGTTTTTTGGCCCTTACAGTCTCTCCTCCACTCTTGGGTGATGGATTTTTGTGAAAAAAATTCTTTCACTGTCTTTTTTCATACTTTAAAAATCTACAAAATAAATGGTGTATTTATTACTAGATGAATCAAATTTATGATTTCATTCTGTTGAATCTCCTAGTAAAAAGACCTCTTAGAAATAGTTTGTTTCCTGTTATGTTATCAGTTTGCTGAGGCCCTTATTTAACTTTATTGTAAATTTTCTATTATGATGAAATCCAAATTTTCCTTTGCATGAGGCCAATTTTAAAAATTTTTTATTTTATTGGTACATTTTAGATGTACACAATGATATAACATTCATCATAGGGAATTTGTAACTGTACATGATCTTGCTTTTTTTTTTTTCCCCTATTTCACTCCCCTCCCTTCAAACTGAGGGCAATTTTTAAAGCAATGTATTTTGAGACAGTGTGGCAATTTAAAGCAATTCCCTTGAGTGGAGGTAGCTGTCCCATCTTGCATTTGAATATAAACATACCACTCCCATCCCCAGGGAAATTTGTTGTTGTTGACTTTAATCTGCATCTGTGTTCTATATATTGCTTTAATAGGATAGATATATAGGATTTAAGAATTAACACTTTCAATATATGTAACTTCTCTGCTTTGAGATCATCCTTAAAGCAGGATTTTCACCTTTATGACATTTGTCCAGCATAGATATATTAGTTTCTTTGCTTGTCACTGAGGCACATTGCCGGACACCCACAAGTTAAAGGAGCAGATGTTTATTTTAGCTGACAGTTTATAGAGGTTTCAGTCCATAGTAGGCTGGCTCCAAGGCAGGTTAGCATGGCAGGGTGTAGAGGAGAACAGTTCATGGCATAGCATGTAAGAAGCAGCAAGAAGCACAGCAGCAAGCCTTCCTTTCCCTTTTATCCCATTCAGGCTACATGCTTATTGGTTGGGACCACCCATACCCAGGGTGGGCCTTCCCATTATCTATGCTTAGAACTGTGTTCAACCAATCACTGGACTAATTTAGTTATCACACTCTTAATCTGTATTCACACACCCTGAATCTAGCCACTTCTGAAAAACCCTAGTGATGAGCTCATGAGGCTCTAGAGGATATCTACATACAAGCTACAGCAGTACTTTAACTTTAGTCTGGCTAGATGGTTAGTCTTTCATATAATACATGTTTTTCATGGTAGGTATGCTTAGCAGACTTAAAATTTTCTTCAGCAATAGAATGTTTTAGAAATTGCTTCACTTATTTTAATACTTACGCATAATTTTCGGTGACTTAATTTCTAGAATTTCAGGCCTGTGAAGATACAGACTAGTTACTATTCTAGATACTGAGGATAACAGTGAGCAAACCACAGAAATCCCTGAATCCCTGTTCTCAGGTGCCTTAGGATTTAGTGGGGGGAACAAACAAATACATCATGTTTTGATAGTGATAAAAATAAATAATGCAAGAAGGTACAATGGAAAAGAGTGGATGGTGGGTAGGATGGGTTGTGATGTTTAAGATAAAATGTTCAGGGATGGATGTCTTTTGGTTAGGTGATACTAAAATGTAGTTTTGCCTTTTAGAGATCTTTAACACATAAATTCTAGTGTTTTTGTTAAGTAATGCATAATTCATGAAATTTTTTACTACATATAGTAAGCTTTAAAAGAATAATCTGAAAGCTTGCAAAAGAATATCATAAAAAACTAGAATGTGTTGGGAGTGTGGCTCAGTGGTAAATGTGTGTTTAGCATATGTGAAATCCTGGGTTTTATCCATAGCACCCCCCCCCCGAAAAAGGTTAAATGACATGTATTTCTAGCTTTATGCAAACTGAGAAATAATAACAACTTTCTTTCTTTTTCTTTTTTTTTTTGTCTTTTTGAGACAGAGTCTCGCGGTGCAGTTCAGGCTGTGCTTGAGCTCACTTTGTAGCCCAGGCTGGTCTCGAACTTGCAGTGATCCTCCTGCCTCAGCCTCCCAAGTGTTGGGATTATGGGCATGCGCCACCACGCCTGGCAATAACAACATTTATACAGCATTATTTTTGCTCTCATAAATGTACATTAGTATGTCTAGTTTCCTTAGCGTCTATATTTCTTTGCCAGGATCCTCGCAATAGTACTGGACTTTAACATAATCCATAGTCTATATATATATATATATA